TAGAAACGTTCTTCGTCCGATACTTTTCCAATGATGCTCACCCACAGAAACAAATACCAGATGCCATCTACTGTTCCTGATCTGGATCTTTGATGTCATGACGTGCACATTATAGCAGGGAACAGGGGCGCAGCGCCCTCATGCCATAGCCACGCGCTCCCTTACCCTGGGGAGCAGATCCTCTGGTAACCATAAAAATCTGATTGACCAGGGAACACATGTTGCCATAGTCTTCACCTGTGACCTGTCTGATAGTAATTTTGGCCCCAAGGAAGCCATAGAATGCTCCATTTTAACTTTCAATTATCAAAAACTCCACACCCTTATAGGGAGAACCCTATCTCCCCCACTTAGTGGCGCTGCTGTATTGCAGTGCTCCCTCTTGCAGTTTCTTTTAGAAAAAACCTTGTTATATCGTTACTTTCACATGCTCTATCACAATCAGAAAGTGTGTTATTTGAGGAATTGCTCTTTGCTAGTTTGATACAATAGATAAATTATTGAGATCCTAACTTTTTTTAAAAAAACTAGGAATAGGAATAGTATTGTTAGATTTCAGTACAGTTACATAAAATAATTTCAAGTTCAAAATATATAAAATTGTGAGGAGGTTTATTTTGGGTGTGATAATTGGATTTGATTTCATTTGAGTAATCTTGATGTTACACAAAACAAAATTGTAGAATTTGTACTTTTTGAATTTAAGTTATTTAATTGTGTTTGATATGGGAATCATAGTGATTTCTTGCATTAAAGTGGATAGGTTTATGGTTGCTTTGTTAGGCGAATTGGGGTGAATAGATTGGTTTGGGGTTGCTCGGTTAGGGGGTGTGAATTAAGGTGAATAGGTTGGTTTTGGGTTGCTCGGTTAGGGGGTGTGAATTAAGGTGAGTAGGTTGGTTTTGGGTTGCTCTGTTAGGGGGTGTGAATTAAGGTGAGTAGGTTGGTTTGGGGTTGCTTGGTTAGGGGGTGTGAAAAGGGTGAATAGATTGTTTTCGGGTTGCTTGGTTAGGGGGTGTGAATTAAGGTGAGTAGGTTGGTTTTGGGTTGCTTGGTTAGGGGGTGTGAAAAGGGTGAATAGATTGATTTTGGGTTGCTTGGTTAGGGGCTGTAAAATGGGTGAATAGGTTGGGCTTAGTTAGGTGGTGTGAAATAGGTTTCATGAATTGGTTTGTGATTCCAGGTTGTTTGGTTAAGTGGTACAACATAGGTTGATTTAGCATTTGAGTAGGTAATGTGAAATGGGGTGGATAGGTTGGTTTAGTATTAGAGTAGGTGGTGTGACATGGGTTGGATAGGTTGGTTTAGCATTCGAGTAGGTGGTGTGAAATGGGTTGGATAGGTTGGTTTAGTATTCGAGTAGGTGGTGTGACATGGGTTGGATAGACTGGTTTAGGATTCGAGTAGGTGATGTGAAATGGGTTGGATAGGTTGATTTAGCATTCGAGTAGGTGGTGTGAAATGGGTTGGATAGGTTGGTTTAGTATTCGAGTAGGTGGTGTGACATGGGTTGGATAGA